TTGGTAATTTGAAAGAAAAACATTTATTTTCTTTTGTTAATTTATTTTGTTTATAAAAGGGAAAAACACAGATCTTTCATTTGATGGAAAGTTATTTATTCTCGCTGTTTGCAGCTAAAATTAACTCTCACATTATTTTCTGTTATATTCCTCTACAATGTATACATTTTAGTTTAATTTTTTTACAAACACTTCTTATTTTATACTTTTTCTCTCTTTTATTCCATTTTACTCGCAACTATTAAATTATTTCTCTTATTTATTTCTACTTATTTTATTATGTTTATTTATTTTTTACTTACTTCTAAGATGTATATATTTTTTTATATTTATTTTCTATTTGATTCAATTTGTTTTTTATATCTTTTCTTCATTCTATAAATTTATATATTCTACAAAAAAAAATCAGTTCTTCCCTTGCATGGTCTACTCATTTGATTTAATGAGTTGATAACTTTCCTAAGCAATTTTTTAGTGCTGTCTTTTATTGCGCTGTTTACTTTCAGCTCTCTGACACATTTACCATGTCACATATACAGTTGCGGGCTCTATTTCACAATCGCATTTCCCAAAGTTGACACCGATCTCTGTCCATTAGGGGAAACCACACGAAATTCATAATCATAATCATTAAGAGTGCCGCTGCCATTAGCCCAGAATCGGTCCGTGCTCTCCACCTGCCGTCAACTCATGGGTTTATTTTAGGTATTCTGTTCTTGTGGTTCTTTTGTAATAACAGTGCTTATCAGGTAGTTAGATCGTGTTTAGCCGCAGATAACCTAGTTCTGGCAACTGACACAAATTCAAATCTCAGACACAAATCGCAATAATTAGACCCCAAAACTCTGGGAGGCTTAATCTAAGCCCAGGGGAATGGGCGTTGCAGCGAATTTTAAACTAATTGCATACCGAGAATTGTTCACGCTGCGTTTGCTATAATTATACCCTCTATTCAAGTCGACGCTAAAAAAGGGTATGTTCAGTTTGGTCAAGTCTTTTATGCAAAGTGAGCACTCTTGCCTAGAGCTTCTTAGCGTACTTGACGAGTACTATAAGTACTTACATATATTAATGAATACTATGAGTACTCAGCCTATCGGCTGATGAGTACTGTGAGTATTGGGTGTATATCGGGTGAGTAGTCACCCTTGCTTGTGAAAATCACAAGTTTTATTAGGACTTGCCCGTTAGGTTAGATCAGATGGGGACATTTTTCTTGCCTGCAATGCCGATGAGGACCATGACTGCAAGCTATATTCGGGTAAGCACCTTCGCCTCAATCTTCGAAGATTGACTAAGAGTACTTACGTGGAAGGCAGATTAAGTATAATAAATACTTGCTGACTAGTTTGATGCGTAGTCAGAGTAGTTGGCCGCAACGTTGATGAGTCCAAAGAGTACTTGCTTTCGACGTTGATGAGTACTATAAGTACTTGTCTGTAAGATTGATGAGTACCACGATAAAAGGGTACCCAAATGTTCAATCACTGTCTAATTTCTTACCGGCTTTCAATTGTTGGACTGAACGTTAATTATCCAAGCAAGCAAGAATAATGATCCCATGAACTGGCAGATCTTAGATGCGTATATTATTTTTGGCAAAGTAATTTAAAGCTAAGCAGCGCTCACAAATGGAAAACTTTCACAAAATTTTTACTTTCATCGAGAGACACGCTCGCATTCTAACATCAACAAAAGACTGGAGCGGCTGCTGTGGGGCTGCGGTCGTAGTTTGGCGTCTCATTAAGTTGTTTGGCTGCTTCTGGCCAAGATCGTTGGCCTCATTATGCCTAGTCTAAGCAACAAAACGAGCAAGATCAGCCCGAAGTCATCTATTTAATAAGTGCAACAGTTATGCTCGCCTAAACATTGAAAGCAATCGCCATAGATCTACAGAGAAGTGCTCTACAAAAAGGGAAACGGAAGCCCCAAGACACCAAGATTTATGTATGCCACATGCTAATCAACGTCAAACGCACAGTGGGTGAAATTTGAGCGCAATGCATTGAAATGGGTGAAGGTGACGTCCACTGTAGCCGACGTTAGCTTTTGCAGATGAGAAAGTTTTTCCAACTGTGTGGCGATCTTAACGCTCACCTGGGTTTTGTGTTCTAATAATAACAGGCCAACAACAATGGACTAAACAAAACCTTTCATACACACACATGCATACATGCATGTAAATATATATGTATATATGCATACTATAAGCATAGTATCTGATGATGATTAAAAATGTCTAATGGCTTTTCTATGCAAAATCCATTTGAGCACTTCCCCTTCCTTCACAACACTTCAATCAGAAAGTTTGTATACCCTCGCGCAGAGTATCATTGATTTGTAGTGAAACATGTGACGCATCTTGAGACGCATAAGCCCTTGTGTATATATATTATTGATCAGCGTGAACAGATGCATCGATATAGCCACGCCAATCTATATCTTCTAATGCCAGCTTGTCTTTCAGTTTTAAATCTCGGATCGTGAAACTTTGTATAGGTCCGTCTTTTTCGTACAGGCAGTACATGTTTCGACTTTTTGCTTCTTCAAGCTATCTTCTTCTAATATATAAGCACAGATTTAGCTTTATGAATTAACAATATTAACAATAATTTAATATATTAATATTATATATAGCTGCCATAGGAACGTTCAGTCAAATATTACGTTTTTCAATGGAAAATCTATGTTGTTTTTTTTTTTAGCTACCTTTACCAAACTGCAAAAACACAATCTTTACTAATCTCCCAATCTAAATATTATCAAAATCGGAGGACTATATTATTGAGCTTCTTTCGGAAAAATCGGTGAAAATTTAACTTGATGTACAAAGAAGGTAAGTGTTATCAAGATATCTTCAACGTCTTATAAACATCAGAAATTTATATAGATATACAAGTATCTATACGAAAGCTTATTAGTTTTATATATATGTGTGTGTGTGTGAATGTGTGCAAGTGTATGCATGCATGTATGTATGCATTTATGTATACATGTATGCATGCATGCTTATTTTTCTAAAACCAAACGCAGACCAAGCTTATTTGTTGCTGTGCTGCAAATTTACATAAAACGAATTTCTACAAAGTGCTCTACTCCTCGATTCTCAAGAATTCAAGTAGGCTCTGCAGTTTTCCAGGCTTAGCTCGTCGTGTAGTATTTTTTTTAATATATTTATTTCCTTTTATTTTTTGTATGTATGTATGTTTGCATGCATGTTCGTACGTATGTATGTGAATATGTATGTATGTATGTACATGTGTGTGTATGTACATATGTATGTATGTAAATGTATTTGTATGCACATCTATGTAGGTATACGGACATGCATTCATACATGTACGCATGCGTGCATGTTTGCATGTATACAAAAGAAGCATGCATACATGTATGTACGAACAGGCACACATGTACATATATGCAAACCTAAAACTTAGCCCAAAAAAGATGCTTAGGATACTTTTCATCATTTTATGGTATCTATAGGATTATTCTTATATCCACCAAGAAAAATTGTAAATGTTCTTCTGGATGCCTTCCAGAAACTTGGCAATTGAAAGCTTTGCTATGCTGTTGGCATATAAGAAAATTGAGTAAAAAAACACAACTGTCATATGTCTGTAAGGGTATTTGATTGTTGTGGTGCCTGAACGTTGGTCGTTTTCTGTTCTTTCTTCCATTTCATTTGTGTTGGCCCCTCAACTTCAGATGGAGTCAGATCTTAAGCCGTTGTTGCCTGTACATTTCTCCATATTGGGCAATCAAGAAACGACGTTATTGAAGTTGAAGTTTATGTTTATTATTTTTGTTATTTTCTTGTTGTTGCTGTCGTTGTTGCTGTTTTATCTGGCGGCTTCCGTTCAAGAACCCAGAAAACAAAACTGAAAACTTTTGTTGACAACATTTTGTGCCACTTTCATGCAAATTGTCCGCCGACTGTTACCTCTGCCCGTTGCCCGTTGTCCGTTGCGTTTGTTGTTGTTCTTACTCTTAACATAATTTCGTAACGTGTTGTTGGTGCCATCGCAGTTGTCGTAAAACGCAACAACAACTACATTTATGTTCTTGATGGAATCATTAAAAAATCCACCTTTTTTTATATTTAAAGTTAACTCTGCGATTATTATGTGAATGCTTATGGTGATGATATATGATAGATGACCACCCCGAACAATCCATTGGAATTTAAATTATATGTTTAGAAGGAGCTGGGCTGGCAAATATACACAGATATATGCAAAAAGTGCTTGAAAAAAAAATATCATAAGCGATTTTTTTAAGGGATTATCATTAGGGACTTGGACTTGGACTTTGATTTCATTGCAAATTTAATTTATTTAATTGTTGAATAATATTGACCTGATTTTAAGCTCCCATAACTTTGTTAAAACTGAAACGATTTTTATGACTGACAACATTTTGGTCATGGTTTAACCTCTAGAATTGTACATTAATATTTTACGAATTTTTTTTTATAACATTTTTTGGACATTTTTGCAAGAAAATATTGTACTTATGCCTTGTACATTTCTTACTAATTGTGGGAATTTAGATTCTTTATTTTTTTTTTATTCAAATATGGATATCAAGTTTAGCATAAAAATCTACGAAAGAGTTTTTGTTTTTAAAAATGTTTTTCATAGTATGGTAATTTTTTTGCTATTCACTAAAATTTACTTTTTATCAGGCTTGTGTAAAAAATCTCACATAAAATGCTTTGTCTATCCTTTTTCAAGGTTGTAATCTTTGATGTGAAAAATCATGCATAAATTAAAACAAATTTGATATGTAAAGCTTTGAAAGACTTAGTAAAAATACTCTCTCCTGCCAAGTCCCTAGTAAATACCCTATCTAGACTTTAAGCTTTGTCGAAACTAAACCAAATTCCATAAAAAATATCATTCTGATTACGTACGTATTTCCATCAATAAATAATCAAGCATGTAGTTATGTGTAGTTATAAAAATATATATATATGTACGTATATTTGACATCATAAATAAATAGTTTATACAAAAACTTAGCTTAGTTTAAGGCTAAAATACTAAGCACTAATCCGCTGTATATCAAAGTAGGTATTCCTAGTAATCATATAGATTTGCACAGTTTAGGAATAGTCTAGAGTAGAGCTAAGATTACGTTTTAGTTAATTTCCATAAATTACGGTTCACCAAACGCAGTACAAGAGTAGCTGTTGCTTCGTGTGGGATGCTGCATCCGCCATGTTCCACTGCTGATCCCGTAAGTACCGTTTGTTCAGCTTACCCGTTGCCAGCTGCCAAGTCGAAGAGCTTGCTGAGAAGGAGATGTAGGAGGAGCGGGAGGAGGCACTGGCCCAGGCTATGCGCAGTCGTCTTCAGCTAAATGGGTTAGACAGTTGCCGGCGGCAACCTGGTGCTGCTTCAGCAAGACAAGTGGGCATAGCTAAGGGGGGAGAAGTCGGAGTGGGGCGGCTAGTTGGAGCAGGGTTAAGGTGGCTTCTACAAGGTGCACTGATACTGTTGCTGCAGTGCGCGGGGCAACGTCTTGTGCGGCAGATGGGCGGCGGGGCAGCTGAGGGAGGCCAAATGCGATTGCGACCCGGGCAATCGCTGACGTTGCAGCAGAACGAGGCAAATGCTGATGATTATCACAGATATGGAAACAGTTACCAGCACGCTGCCCAGATTGGCGCTTATATAACGCAGCGAGGCGGCATAGACTGCAGGTGCCAAGGGGGCAGTTGGGAGAAGAGCAGAATAATTGCATTCAACACGATTGCTAGCGTTGGCCATTTATGCATCTACTTACACTCATCATCATCATTTGCATCCGCCTGGGCCCGATCGGACATCCAGGCGCCCGGCCCCTGTTCCACCACCAGCTTGGCATACTTGCTGCTCAGCTGCGCCTGCTCTGGCGCCGGCGCCGGCGCCGCCAACGTCGACTGCGCCAGGCCGTTCAGCTCATTCAGACTGGCCAGGCTGAGAGCGCGTCCCTGCTGGCGTCCCTGCTGCTGCTGGGGCTCGGGCGGCTGTGTTTCCATTACCAAGGCCGGCTGCTCCACGGATTCCTCTTCCGTTTCCTTGAGCACCAGTTCGCTTTTGTTCACAAAGCGCATGTGCCGTAGTTCCCGACCCAAACGCTCCTCATCCGGCTGGAAGGGATCGTTGGGCTCGATGGCGGCTGCCACGCCTGCATTCTTGCCGGGCACCGTAAAGCTGGCGCGCACAGTTTGCATGCCCGACTGATAGCTGCAGACGACAACAAAGCTGTGCGGAAAAAGAGGGAAAATGTATATTAAAAATATAAACTGATTGATAGACTGAGTGATTGAAGATCTACACACTGTCTAAACGGAGATATGTATAAGGAATTCTCTGAATTCTATTTGGAGATGAAAGCTTAAACCTTCACAAGGTTTTTAAGAATTCCACTCAAAAGGGTGAAAATTTACTTCGATTGGCTTTCAGTTTATTTTTCAAAGCCTGACTGCTTGACTGTCTGACGGACTGACTGATTGATGTTCCATGCACAGTCCACATGGAGAGATGTTTAAGGAATTTTTTGCAGATGTTTGAGATGGAAGTGTTTGCCTTGACGAGGCTTTTAGCAATTTCACCTTTAAGGGTGAAAATGTACTTCGATCGGTTTTCAGTTTATTATTCAAAGCCGGACTCTTTGACGGACTGACAAGCTGACTGATTGATGTTAGAGGAAACCTAAACTAATTCTTACTGTAGTTCAAAATGGAAATGAAATGGGGGCTTCAAAAAATTTCACGCATAAAGGTGAAAAACGGGTGGAAAATTGTTGAATTAATTTGATACCCTTTCTTTTGTTCGATCGGCCTTTTCTTTAAGGTCCTTGTGAAAATTGATTCGCGACGGGTTTCACGCGTTTCGTAAAATCCACCGCGTACAAGTAAATTTAAATTTGTTTCCCAAGTGGAAACAGAGTGAAAAAGTGAAAGTGAAATTTAAAAAAAGAACCTACTACTACATTTATTTAATTGCTCTATGCTTACCGCCTGGTGCTGTGCGTAAAGATGCCCAAATTCTCTTGGACTGTGATGAAGGTCTCCACGGTGTTCGTCTCGGGCTTGACCATGCTGCCGCATTGCTTATGATCGATGCGCATGGTATATTTATCAGCTGGATCATTGGCATTGCCCTTGATGCCACAATTGCCACCGTCGACAACGATGCGACCGCCAAAATAGGGACCCGTCTCTACCTCAATCTCGGAGGCATGCGCCAGACACTGCGTCGCATGGGCGGAGACTGAAAAGCGCAGACAATGCGATGAGACTCAAGTACTTTTCACTAGAGCTCATCAAACAACTTACAGCCCTTCGTGGGTATAATGATGCTCTGACCGGGCAGATGAGCTGACGCTCCCTCGATCTCATTCTCGTCATGAAACTCGGAGCGTGCGCTGCTGCTGCGTAGGCGACGCGGCTGCACTGGACGTATGTGGAAGCTGTACCGGGTGGCCATTCTCAGATTGTCCACGGCGGCGGCGAAGTGCTGCACTTGAGTGCTGCGGGAGAGAGTTAGCCAAGTGAGTGCAAGTCGGCTATAGCCGACTGCGCAATACTCTGTTCACAGCGCAACAAGAGATGAACACAAAGCAAACAGCGTGCTTGTTGGGCTATTAAAACTAAAACTGTTGCAATGACTCTCAAACTGTGGCTAAAAAATTATAAATAGTAGATTTTTGTGGCCCTGGGATTGGCTGCATTATTCTTGGATGAATCTTAAGAGAAGCTAGTCTATATAGACTTCTATAGGGAAATATTTAGCTAGCATTTGTTGCGCTACCTCTTAGACTGTTGCAATGGCTTTCAAACTGTTAGTAAACTAATGTAGACTAATGTAATTAGTAGATTTTTGTGTTTCTGGGCTTCTGCTCTGATCTTCATGAAAAGCATAATCTATCGATTTGTTTTTTAATACTTTAAAGATAAATAAGTTTATAAAAGAGGTTTAATGTTTAGCTGACAGAAAACCCATATGCTCTCTTGCACTTTGTGAACAGTGTATTTGCAAAGCAAACAAAAGTGAATAAGTTATATGAGTGTGCACTTACTCGACATACTCCTGCCCAGGTGTGGGCAGCTCGGCGGCGGTGGCATTCACCAGCTTGACGCGGCATCGCTGCGGTCCATAGTTCTGCATTTCACAGTAGAAGATCTGAAAGGCTTTGGGTGGCTCCATAGTGCTGGCAATGGTCATATTTGTCACGCCATGCCCATGCCCATTCCCATTCACAATGGCATTCGCATCGGTAATTGTATTCGTATTCGTATTGGTATTGGCATTCGTATCTGTGTCATGGGCCGACGTCACGATCTCAACTTCCCAGGTCAGATTCACCGATTTGTAATTTGGTTCACCAGCAACGCCGCGTATCTCTGCAGGCCCAAATAGGTTTCAGAATGGGGTTTACATACATACATACAAACATGGTACTTATATAAAAATGGGGTTAGTCAACTGCCGACTACCGACTGCATTTGCTGCAGTTCATCGCAGGCCCAGCTCAAAGTTGCTTCTTGCATGCAAATCAGTTAAGAGCAAAAGGCTTTCAGCTGCTGGGTGGGGCGGGGGCCGGGTGCACGCCTAAGAACTTGTTTCACTAAAAAATCGTCTACAACTGCAACTTGCTTTTGGTTTTGCTTTTTTTTTTTACCCCTGTTGTTGTTCTGTACCACTAAGTGGTGTACCTGGGCAATAAGATCTCGGGCGAGCGTGTTTTGTGGCACCGCAGGTGATGGAGGATTTGCCAGCGAGTGTGCCGGGAATTAGCATGTCCAGCTAACTGATTGCAATTGCGAGCTCAACTCTGAGCTCTACCAAATCGCATTCAGTGGCTTAAACGACTAGAAGTAGCAGATGCAGAAGCAACTGCAGCAAATGAATCACAACAAATTACTTGAGTGTAACTAATTTAAAGACAAATAGAGTGCGATTAAAATGCAGCGGAAATGTTATCTTACGTACACTGCTTGCACTATCAATAGGAAGTGTTTACATTTTGGGAATTAAAATATAAAACTTGTTAAGAAACAAGTCTCTAGCTTTTATAGGTTCCGATACTTAGGAACAGACAGATATGGCTAGATCGACTCGGCTACTAAAGCTGATCAAGAATATATATTCTTTATGAACTCGGAGATGCTTTCCTCTGCCTGTTACATAAATTTATACAAAATCTATCTATCCCTTTTAAATGGGTTCAGAGTATTTAAACATTAAATAAGCCATTCGGGGGCAAGAAATAAATAAAGCATCTAATTTTATTTGCGCTTCACGATGGCTCGCATCCATACTCCGTGCTTATCCCAGCGCGATACTCAATAAAGATATATTTAGAACTGAATTTTATTTTACTAGAATTTGCTGACTTTAAGCTAAAAGGTTTAGAAATACAATTAGTTTCCCATATTTCTTTATAAAAAAAAAAAAATTAAAAATGAATTGAAAACTAAATCATAAAAAGAAAAGAAAAAGAAAAGAAAAAGAAAATTGGAAACTAACTTTAGTAGCTTGAGTCCTTGAGCAAAAATGTGCACAAATATATTTTTTTATATTATATATCTTCCATATTTCTTAACTTTTATTAAAAACACGTAGATATTTGATTTATTCAATTTCGTGATATTAATTGAAAATTAAACATACATACGTTAAATTAATCCACATAAAGAAAAGGAATAGAGCTCAAATATGCAAATGAAACAATTAAACAAATAATAATTAATAAACAATTTATTTAAATCCTTTAACTATGTATGTTTGCTAGCATGTATTAATCAGCTAAGCCCTGGTCAAGCTATTTCTTCAATTTCGTTTTTACTTTTCTACCAAATTGTGAAATAATTTACATTCATATTTAAAGCCGAGCTTGAGCCATTCATAAATAAAGGTTTTATTTATAGAGATTATGTTGTTGTTGCCAACTTTGAATAAATCTTAAAAATTTGTGTCCACCTTCGGTTAGTTACTTTGATTAAATCATGATTAACTGAAGTATTCCCTCACAGCAAACCAGGCAGCTCATCGCATTGCTCCATTAATTAACCCGCCACCCCCTGGAAATTTCTACCCCCCCTCAATTGCAATGACACATTTGTGGCATATCTAACATCTAAAGTGCGTTTTCCCCGATTTCCAATTTGGCAGAACCTTGCATAATGCGCAATTAGAAATGCAATTTTCCAGGCTAAGCAGCTGAAATGTTGTTTGGCTGTTTGCCGTTGCATGTTGTTTGTTTGCTTGCGTGTAGTTTGTGTGTGTGTGTGTGTGTTTGTGTGCTGCTTGTACATTTTCCCATGTTGAAATCATTGACACCAATTTTGAATTCGCCAGGCCGCCTCCGTGCTGCTGCATTCGCCATTTAGGCGAATTTCACACAAAGAGAAAAAAATACAAAAAAAAATCTGCAGCGCCATGGAAAAGTGAAAATTTAGTCGAACAGTTGGCACCATTCTGAGCTGAACTGTCAAATACTTAATAGAACCCGGCAAACAGGCAGCACAGACGACAGCTCCATCATCAACTGCCTGGCCGCTGATTAGAAACTGGCCATTTGGCAGCAAATAAATCGCTCGATTTGAGCATATTTCTTCACTCGGCTGACGGCTGTGGCTGCCACATGACGTTGCACTTTTGCGTGAAACGTGTGATCAGGTTATGCAATGCGCTGCCTGGTCTTTGTCCAATTTGACAGTCACCGCGTGGTCGAACCACACTGACATTTTGGCCGCATCTAATGACACTTTTGCTCTCGGGCCAGCGGCCAGCTTATCATTAGAAAATGTTGCCGCAATTTCCGCCGTTGCGGTTCTGGGGCGGTGCCGGGGCCGTGGCCCGTTTTGCCCGCTTTGCCCGCTTGGACAGGAAACGTAAGCACATTTCCATTTGATTGGCATAAAATGGCTAAAATTAGCGCTAGCCGCAAGTTCGTTGCCTAAGTCTTTTGTTTTCTTCTCTCTTACTCGCTTTGCCCTCCTGCTAAAGCGTGAAACAATTTCGCTGCCAAGGGCAGCCCTTGCCTTATTGTTGCTGTTGTTATGTTGCAAACAAGCTGCTGCTGCTGCAGTGAAACGGGGCACACAAGCAATGCACACGTTGCAAGATCACAAATCGTGACCAAATGCAATTAGGCAGCAGCTCGGCTGCAGAACAGAATGCCAGCGACAAGTCTTTGAGCCCAGCGAGCGGGCGTGTGGGGCAGCTTCGGTGTCTACCTTATTTTTTTTTATAGGACTTACCATATTTGCTGTCGGCATTGTTGTAGCTTTTGCTGCTGCTGCTGTTGCTGCTGTCGTCGCTGCCTGTAGATGTTTTCAATTTTCCTGCGGCTGCTGCTGCTGCTGTCTGTTGGGACTCTGTCAGCAGCTCATTGTGGCTATTGTTGCTGCTGATGCTGCTGCTGTTGTTGTTGTTGTTGTTGCCTGATATTCGGGCGCGTCGTGTTGCCGCATTTGACATTGCCGGCAGCAAAAGCAGCATCAGCAGCAGCAGCATCAACGGCAGCAGCAACATGCAGCAGCTGCTGCCTGCCATTGATTTGTTTGACATTATTTTCGCTTGATTTATTTTATGAAATTTTATGTTTGTAGCATCCAAAGTGTGTCAATTGGGCGGCACCAATTGCGCCTTTTATTATTATTACTATTATTCTTGCGACTTGTAGTATTTTGAGTTTGATTGGGCGCAGTCACTAGTTTTTATGGCTTGCAAAGCCAAACAAAAAATAACACTAAGAACACGCAACAAGTTACACAATATAAAATTTATTGTTAATAATACAGTCTGTCGCGTTTTTTTTTGTTTTCAAAAATAACGGCAACTGCAAACAAGCGATACGTTAACAGCGACAACCGCACGCCTTCATTGGCGTCGCACAACTGACTCACAACTCAGCTGCAGTCGAACTTTGAACAAAGCGCGGTCGCAACAGCTGTTGCGAGCAGCAGCAGCAGCAGCAGCAGCGGCAGAGCGAGCGCGGCAGCGCAATGCCAAGGCCGCGCGCGTCAAATGAGCGAGCTTTCAGAAAGCTCCTTCTCTCTCTCTCTCTCTCTCTATCTGTCTTGTCAAATGCACGACATATGCTTTCGGTTTTAGGCTGTTGTCGCTGCCGGCGCCGCAGTCGCCGTCGCTGCTGCTGCTGCTGCTGTTGTTGTTGCAGAGCCAACACCAGAAATGTTAAGCAGGAACGGCTCTTATCAGCAGCCGCTTATCGTATGGAAAACTCGACGTGTTTTTTTTTTTGTATTTTACAAGCGCTAAATTAAAAATCCATATTAGAGATGAAAAAAAACCTTTCTATATAATTAAGGCACAGCCAAGTAACCTTTTCGAACAGGTATTGATAAAAGTTTTGCGGCTGATTTTGTTGTTGTTGTTGTTGTTGCTGCTGAAAAGCCAAGCGTAGCTTTCCCTTTTTTATTTTTTCTTTTTTGGCGCGAGCCTATTGTTTCTTTTCCCAGCGCTGCTTTGATTAATGCTTAATCAGCAATATTATTGTTATTAGTTTTCTATGGCGACCAAATTTGGCTGCCGCTGTTGCCTTTTAGCATTATTCATGAGCATTTTATATAGATATTTGCCGCTTTATATATATAAAAAAGAAAAAACTCCCCCAAAATGAAATCAATTGAAAATGTCGTATAAACAATTTCACTTTGACAATTTGACGCAGAGCTTTTGTTGCCTTTCAATGTGTTATAATATTGTTAATAATAACTGCAAAATTGGCGTTAGTTATATAATAAAATTTGACATTTATTTAAAACTAATTACGCGGGTTTTATGGGCAATCAAAAATATTGGAATTAAGGAAAATGCATATTATATGGCTGCATCATTAAAGCAAATGTTTGTTGAGATAAGCATGAGAAAATAATGGAATTTAAGTATGTTTGACTGATTGATACCCTGTAAGCCGCAAAAAAACGAGCAACAGATTTTCTTGCTTAAAACAAATTCCAATATAGAATAAATAATATTGACTAAATATATGTGTATCTGTAATAAAACACATATAATATAAATAGAATATATATAAATTTTCATCAAAGGGCATACACCTTTCGTATACTCTACTCAAATTTGCCCTATAAAACAACCATTTTAGCTCAATTATCAGGTTGACCTTTATTTCATATCTCAATCTTGACTTTTACTCAGCTGTGTTTGATTTCCCAGCACCTTTTTATTTATATCAAATAATTTCCATATTGTTTTGGCCTATTTTGCCCCACTTAGAACTTGTTAATTTACAAACACGCAATGTAATTTCCTGCTTAATAATAAATTATGCCAACTATTTATATGATAATTAGACAGCCCCCTAAAACAGACACTCACCTTTGTATATATGTATATGATATAAGACCAATTCTTTTATATTTGTTTTAATTGTTTTGGTATGCCAAGGCCAGGGCCAGTCGTGCGTTATGTAATGGCCCACCTGTGCCGTGTGCTATGACGTTAGCAAATCCTTAGAGCTACATTAAAGGACACTGACCGCTGTGCAGGTCAGGCTGGGCGCTGTCCGAGTTCGGAAACATTTCAACTGCTTGTGACAAATCCCTTGGCAGTGAAATGCTCAAAACGAGCAGTAGACACAAGCATTTACCCCTAATTTCCTTAATTAAAAATTTAATGAGCCTTTCAACTAAAAATAAACACGCTGCGAGGCAGGGACTCGCAATTGGAACACCTGTTGGCGCCGCAAAACTCTTTGGCAAGTTTCCCATGAGGTTTTAAGGATTGCCGTCGTGCCGACACACACACACACACAAAGGACCCGGGCCGAGCTGGAAGGCAAACAATGCGCAAATTGAAATGTGTTTGCCAAATCACTTGCCACGCCCACAAGCAAACCGACCTCAGCGCCATCAAGACAATGTGCGGCGCTGAAAGGTTGAAAAAGAGCGGAACCAAAGCGTGTTTTTACAATGTGCCTGAAAGTAGGCAACGAATTTTTGCGGCCAAGCAGTTGCGTGTGCTGTACGTGTGTGTGTATATCAGTTAGTTTTGCATGTGTGTGTGTGTGTGGCGCGCATGTGTGGCGTATAATTGAGTGGCCGTCGCCAAGTATCCTGCTTTGCATAGCAGTCGCATGTCATTAGCAGGCAGCTTAGGCCAGCTGTTTGAAATTGACATGGCTTCCACGGCGTATACGCAATGTCGCCCAAACCTACTTGCAGCCCCGCCCACTCATTTTGGCCCGCCTACAGGCTGAGCGGCAACGATTGTCGATTGTTTGACTTTCGGGTTGCCAGCCAGGATTACATGTCTCGAGCACATCAAACAAGTTTACTTACCAATGACCTCGTTAATGAAACACACACACACACACACAAACCGCTGAAGTACGGCAATTTGTTTGTGTGTGTGTGCACTAGGGGTTGTGTGTGCCTGCATGTTGTTGAGTTTACTTTGTAATTTGCGCTTATCAGATTTATTTTTATTTTTGATTTTTTAGCTGGTGCCCAAAGCACAATGCAAACAAAACAATGCGTATTTCGCGTGCGCCGAATATAAAAATACACTTTTTTGTTATGGAAACTCTAAGTTGCAATACGTGTTTTATACTTATCTCTGACTGATTGATAGATTGACTGACTGACAAACCAAACCGTAAAAGCTAAGAAACTAATTATTTGCACAGTTATCACCATATGTGATGGAGATGCACGCTAAGACGGGAAACTCATATAGGATATTTGAGTGTACCATTTTTACTCGAATTTTTACCAAAAATAATATTGCCAGATTGAGATGCCAAATTGATCTAGACATCAAACCAAGAACAAAGAGACAAATCTTATGAAAATTGCTTGAGTTTTGACCTAGTTATGGGGGTGGGAAATTTTGACCTAAGTCTATATAGGATATTTGAGAGTACCAATTTAACATGAATTTTGACCAAAATATTATGTTGCCAGATTTTGATGCAGAATTGATAATGAGGCCAAACCATGAACAAAAAGCCAAACCTTATTAAAATCGGATGATATTTGACCGAGTTATGGGGTGGGAAGTTATGACCTATGTCCATATAGGATATTTGATAGTACCAATTTAACATGAATTTTGACCAAAAAATTATGTTGCCAGATTTTGATGCAGAATTGATCTAGAGGCCAAACCATGAACAAAAAGCCAAACCTTATTAAAATCGGATGATATTTGACCGAGTTATGGGGTGGGAAGTTATGACCTATGTCCATATAGGATATTTGAGAGTCCCAATTTAACATGAATTTTGACCAAAAAATTATGTTGCCAGATTTTGATGCAGAATTGATAATGGGGCCAAACCATGAACAAAAAGCCAAACCTTATGAAAAACTTATGAGATTTGACCAAGTTATGGGGTGGGAAGTTTTGACCTATGTCCATATAGGATATTTGAGGGTACCAATTTAACATGAATTTTGACCAAAAAATTATGTTGCCAGATTTTGATGCAGAATTGATAATGAAGCCAAACCATGAACAAAAAACCAAACCTTTTGAAAATCGGATGATATTTGACCCAGTTATGGGTGTGGGAAATTTTGACTATGTCTATATAGGATATTTGAGGGTACCAATTTAACATGAATTTTGACCAAAAATTATGTTGCCAGATTTTGATGCAGAATTGATCTGGCCAAACCATGAACAAAAAGCCAAACCTTATTAAAATCGGATGATATTTGACCGAGTTATGGGGTGGGAAGTTTTGACCTATGTCCATATAGGATATTTGAGAGTACCAATTTAACATGAATTTTGACTAAAAAATTATGTTGCCAGATTTTGATGCAGAATTGATAATGAGGCCAAACCATGAACAAAAAGCCAAACCTTATTCAAATCGGATGATATTTGACCGAGTTATGGGTGTGGGAAATGTTGGCTATGTCTATATAGGATATTTGAGGATACCAGTTTGACATGAATTTTGACCAAAAAATTATGTTGCCAGATTTTGATGCAGAATTGATCTGGAGGCCAAACCATGAACAAAAAACCAAACCTTATTAAAATCGGATTAGATTTGACCAAGTTATGGGGTGGGAAGTTTTGACCTATGTCCATATAGGATATTTGATAGTACCAATTTAACATGAATTTTGACCAAAAAATTATGTTGCCAGATTTTGATGCAGAATTGATCTAGAGGCCAAAACATGAACAAAAAGCCAAACCTTATTAAAATCGGATGATATTTGACCGAGTTATGGGTGTGGGAAATGTTGGCTATGTCTATATAGGATATTTGAGGATACCAGTTTGATATGAATTTTGACCAAAAAATTATGTTGCCAGACTTGGATGCAGAATTGATCTGGAGGCCAAACCATGAACAAAAAACCAAACCTTTTGAAAATCGGATGATATTTGACCGAGTTATGGGTGTGGGAAATGTTGGCTATGTCTATATAGGATATTTGAGGATACCAGTTTGACATGAATTTTGACCAAAAAATTATGTTGCCAGATTTTGATGCAGAATTGATCTGGAGGCCAAACCATGAACAAGAAACCAAACCTTATTAAAATCGGATTAGATTTGACCAAGTTATGGGGTGGGAAGTTTTGACCTATGTCCATATAGGATATTTGAGAGTACCAATTTAACATGAATTTTGACCAAAAAATTATGTTGCCAGATTTTGATGCAGAATTGATAATGAGGCCAAACCATGAACAAAAAGCCAAACCTTATTAAAATCGGATGATATATGACCGAGTTATGGGTGTGGGAAATGTTGGCTATGTCTATGTAGGATATTTGAGGATACCATTTTGACATGAATTTTGACCAAAAAAATATGTTGCCAGATTTTGATGCAGAATTGATCTAGAGGCCAAAACATGAACAAAAAGCCAAACCTCATTAAAATCGGATGATATTTGACCGAGTTATGGGTGTGGGAAATTTTGACTATGTCTATATAGGATATTTGAGGGTACCAATTTAACATGAATTTTGTCCAAAAAATTATGTTGCCAGATTTTGATGCAGAATTGATAATGAGGCCAAACCATGAACAAAAAGCCAAACCTTATTAAAATCGGATGATATATGACCGAGTTATGGGTGTGGGAAATGTTGGCTATGTCTATGTAGGATATTTGAGGATACCATTTTGACATGAATTTTGACCAAAAAAATATGTTGCCAGATTTTGATGCAGAATTGATCTAGAGGCCAAAACATGAACAAAAAGCCAAACCTCATTAAAATCGGATGATATTTGACCGAGTTATGGGTGTGGGAAATTTTGACTATGTCTATATAGGATATTTGAGGGTACCAATTTAACATGAATTTTGTCCAAAAAATTATGTTGCCAGATTTTGATGCAGAATTGATAATGAGGCCAAACCATGAACAAAAAACCAAACCTTTTGAAAATCGGATGATATTTGACCGAGTTATGGGTGTGGGAAATTTTGACTATGTCTATATAGGATATTTGATAGTACCAATTTAACATGAATTTTGACCAAAAAATTATGTTGCCAGATTTTGATGCAGAATTGATAATGAGGCCAAATCATGAACAAAAAACCAAACCTTTTGAAAATCGGATGATATTTGACCGAGTTATGGGTGTGGGAAATGTTGGCTATGTCTATGTAGGATATTTGAGGATACCATTTTGACATGAATTTTGACCAAAAAATTATGTTGCCAGATTTTGATGCAGAATTGATCTAGAGGCCAAAACATGAACAAAAAGCCAAACCTTATTAAAATCGGATGATATATGACCGAGTTATGGGTGTGGGAAATGTTGGCTATGTCTATATAGGATATGTGAGGTTACCATTTTGACATGAATTTTGACCAAAAATTATGTTGCCAGATTTTGATGCAGAATTGATCTGGAGGCCAAACCATGAACAAAAAACCAAACCTTATTAAAATCGGATTAGATTTGACCAAGTTGTGGGGTGGGAAGTTTTGACCTATGTCCATATAGGATATTTGATAGTACCAATTTAACATGAATTTTGACCAAAAAATTATGTTGCCAGATTTTGATGCAGAATTGATCTGGAGGCCAAACCATGAACAAAAAACCAAACCTTATTAAAATCGGATTAGATTTGACCAAGTTGTGGGGTGGGAAGTTTTGACCTATGTCCATATAGGATATTTGAGAGTACCAATTTAACATGAATTTTGACCAAAAAATTATGTTGCCAGATTTTGATGCAGAATTGATCTGGAGGCCAAACCATGAACAAAAAGCCAAACCTTATTAAAATCGGATGATATATGACCGAGTTATGGGTGTGGGAAATGTTGGCTATGTCTATGTAGGATATTTGAGGATACCATTTTGATATGAATTTTGACCAACAAATTATGTTGCCAGATTTTGATGCAGAATTGATCTAGAGGCCAAAACATGAATAAAAAGCCAAACCTCATTAAAATCGGATGATATTTGACCGAGTTATGGGTGTGGGAAATTTTGACTATGTCTATATAGGATATTTGAGGGTACCAATTTAACATGAATTTTGACCAAAAAATTATGTTGCCAGATTTTGATGC